TAAATTATAAACATCGAAATTCTGAAGAGGCTTTGTGTCAAACTACAAGCGATTCTACCAAAATGGGTGTAAAAGCTTTTAAACCTCATAGATCCAAAAAAAAAAAAAGATTTAGAAATAAAATGTCTTCAACATGGACGAGGATGATTAAGTTCAAATCTTCAAAAATTTCAGAAATTCTTTCCTGAAAAAAAATGAGCGTGAAAACTGAAAGATTCTAAGCTTCTTTTTATGAAAGTTCAACAAAAGCCAATGCTTAGACTTCTATTCCGGAAATTAAAGGACTGCAAGAGTGACTATTACGAAGAAAAGGTTAAAGAAACTGGCACAAAAGGGCTAAATTCCTTTTAGACATATATTCCGAAAGAGTAAGAGTTCAAAAGCATGGTTGAGCACTGGGGTTATCAAATTCTGGGGAGGAAGCAGCGCAAGGGACACGCCCATATCCGAGTATCCTCGCCTCGTTGATGATGATTCTAATCTATGGAGCAAGGAATCACTGCAAGCTGCAAAAGTAATTGCCTTGGGTCTGTCAGGGATGAGAAGTATGGTATTGGTATTGATGAAGAACGGTAGGATTACTGTAAGGAATACTGTAGATCTTACTGTAGAAATGAGAATAGCCTTTATCTTAGAAAAATAAATCCTATTTTTCTCCGTGGAAGCATGAGGTGGTCTCAAAAAAGCTTTTTTTCTCCTCTTTTCTTTAAACGAGGCAGCGTACGTTCAAAATCAGCAGCCAAAAAGCTTCATCCCTCGTCAACACACCCAGCATACAGCCTAAGCATCGAGCATAGGATCTTTCAAGTGACGGATATGCCAGTCAGCATATCAGATGTCATAAGGGTCATAATAAATGCAGAATGCTTGAGATAGATATTGAAACGCTTAGAAAACCACTCGCATTTCTAGACTGAAGTGGAAAAATTTGGGTCAAAGAACGATTTTGACAGAGTCTTGATGATGAGTTAGGTAAAGAAGCTATAAAAGGAGCTGGGGATTTGGATGAGCAAATGTTGGCGAAATTTCGGTTGCCTTCTGGATTTTGCGGCCATAGATGTTAAGGCATTTTGCATTCTAATGTTATTATGTGTCGGAAAAGAAGACGCCAACTGCCTCAATAGATAATCTGTGTACTTGGAATTTCTATAATTTAAGAGAAAATTTTTTGAGAGATTTGAGACTGTAAATTGTGACTAACTTGAAACGTT